GGGCAGAAGAGCACTGAGATAGGAGTAAATAAACTACAATGAAGAATGATTAGCAATCATTCTTTTAATGTGTTCTTCACATAATAGCAATACAACAGTTTTAACAGCTATGATTTTGAAACCTGGTGCTCATGTTTTTTGTCAAAGAACTGTCTGTCCCATTTAGTTGACTAAGCTCTATATTGGTGAACTTTAAATTAACTAGTAAAGGTTTATTCCAAGCTGAAAAGGGCACTTCTTTGGTACACCCGACGAAGGCTCCACAGTCTAAATGTTGTGTTTCTTTTTTTCTCTTTTCAGCATGGAATAAACCTTTACTTATTTATTTGCAGCCTATGCACGCTGACGCACCTACCTGAGCTACTTTAAATGATCTTTTGCTTTGTTTTTTACCTAATTTGGTTTCATAACTCTTCAAGGCTGGGCCTGGTCAATATACATGGGAGGGAGAAATTTCAAAGAAAACCAGGCTGCTGCAGTTTGTGGTGTTGGTGGACCAGTAGGTGGTGCTCTTCACTCTAGGCTAGAATTTCTAAACCAAAGTCCAAGTGTACAGATTTTCTGACAGGGAGTGTCTGAGCTGACCTGCTCGATGGCATAACTACCAGAACAAATAATAATTTTAAATATAATCTGTGCTTTATCTTATTTTCTAATGTGAAAAAGAAGCTTTGCACACCTGTGGTATACAACATAACAGTTTATTTATGAAAATAGGACTGAAAATTGGAGGTGCTTCACCAAAAAATTAAAATGTATTATCTGAAACAAACTACATGTGCTGGTTTAGTTGAAAAGTCCAGAAACAACTGGATGAGTAAGAACTTCTGGGACTATTTAGCTTATAACAACTAAACTGGAAAATGGGGTCTCCTATTGTTGGTAACCTTTCTTGGCACTCTTAAGCTCACGTTGTCTACATGGAAATTCTTTATTACAGAAACCGTTCGACGATGAGCTCTTTATTTGGGTGATAGCTCCATCTTGTGGTGAAAAGATCCTATTAAAGATAAAAAACGACCCCCCACACTCCGATTCAGAGACATCCCAGTGTCTCCCTAAACAAACCCCCTAACTTGAAAAGTATTCACAATACACAGTATTACCAACCATATTATTCACAATTTAATAAATGACTGCATAATCTGGGATAATCTGTGTGTATGCTCCATACGAGGTGAATGAATTTACAAAGGGCCTTGTTTCTCCAGTGGCTTGTGGAAATCAGATACAGTCATTTCTAGAAAAAAGGGTAGATGTGTGGCAACAGAACACAGAGAGACATTGCTCGGTAATTTAGGAAATGCTTATGATCCAATTAAATGTACAATGAAATAGTTTACGAATACAAAGTCTAGAGTGAAAGTAGTTATGTGAGAACAATCCTGGTGTTTAGGGGAGATGGACTCTCAGCTTTGAACAGAACAGTGACTCTATGTGTCAAAACAAGAAGGCCTGTGGCCAGAACTGTTCACAAGCAGGACAGAGCAAGTTCTTTAAAGTCATGTCTCCCTTTTCCTACCACTAGGGGATGCCGATGCATTAACCAAGCTTTAATTTGGCTTTTTGAAAGAGCAGACAGATCTCTGTTCTGGGATGCAAAGATCAGTTGAATCATGTCCAGCCCGATCTCCTGTACATGTCACCCAGGTGGGGTTGCACTTCAGTGGTGGATAAAACAGGTCCCCTCCCATATCCAAAGCACTTAGAGATGAAAAACACTATACAAATGTAAGGTGTTATTATTACAGACGAAGGGATTACAGGGAACAGTATTGACTATTAAACCTATTAACTATTAACAGTTTTAACACCATTGAACAGTATTGGAGGTTACACCTGGTGCAGGTCTGCATATCCTGCTTCCGAAACAAAGAAACAAAGACCCGATCCAAATGCTGAGACTAGTCAGAGTGGTGGAAGTTGGTCCAGAAGGGCAGAGACTGCAATTGTTGTGTGCATCCGGGTAAGAGGAACAGAACTGTCTGTGATCAAAAAGTCACAGGAGACACAGAATCTTCTCGATCTCCTCTTCAGCAATATTTCCTACTTGGCTGGCAGTTGTTCCATGTCTAGGGCAGAATAAGACGATATTGTCTGGGAAAAGACAAAAGTCACCTGCTTATATTTGCATATACTTTATATAATTAGAATTTAATGGTAAAATAATGTTTAGGTTTTTTTTCCCCAATAGTGACAATTGAACTACATCCATCCACCTTGTCATTTCTATTTGTGTTCCACAGTTCCTTGTATTGTCAAAAGCTGGCATGTAAGGTACATTCCCAACATATACTCTAACATTATATTACTGAAATATGAATGTTTATCTCTGGTTCTGTAATACTAAGCAGTCTAATCAGGAGCTATTGTCCAAGGTATGATCTGTTCTGTTAAGGTATTCTGCACTCATTGTGCACTTCATCCTTCACAAACAACTCACCTCTCTGAACTCTACCAGGAATCATAAAATAAGAAAAAGTGCCAGAATGAAATAACACTAGATTAGGAAGTGTAAAAACAACAATTTACATGTGTTGAGTGTTCTAGGGCATCAGCAGTGTAAATCAATATATGCCTACATAAGCATTATGTCAAGATTTTATCAAAATGTACTTTATCCCCTGCTGTATATACTACATGACAGACCTTCACCCACTAACCTGTTAATGAGCACAATGACTGCAATAAACATTGGTTTAGCATACTTTAAGGCTTATGATGGTTTATATATATATATATTGACCATTTCTTAGACACTATTACATTTTTTAATATGATTTTCTTTGGCTTACCAGTTGTAAAATCAGAATAATATAATACTCCAACTGTTCATTAGATCAGCACATTCCCTATGCAGTTTTTTCCTATTGTATTCAAATATAATTTGATAGTTGACCATTCCCAATTTAATTGGACCCATTAATTTACTCCATCAATTCATTTTCTACCCTCTTTCAGAGCCTTCCCAGCAAGCAATGGGCACAAGGCAGGTTACAGCCTGAATGAAATGCCAGTCCATCAAAGGGCCAACAGACACTCATACCACGCACACACTCATACCATTTTTTTCCAGAAGCAAATCAACCTCCAGTTAGTTTTTTGGACTGTGGGAGGAAACCAGAGCACCTCAAGGAAACTCATGTGAACATGGGAAGAACATACAAACTCACACAGATTCATTATTTTACTCATCCGATCAAATCAAATGTCAATCACATTCTGGGCCTCTAGAAATGGATGATTTCCGAATGATCTGGTGGAGCCATCCCAATTCTTACCACCAGTATATCGATCCGGTGTGAATGTAGAAAACAAAAGACTCACTTAAAAGTTAAAGTTTGTTGAAAATGTTGCAATGACAATGACTTCGTGGCTAACACATGCAGCCATCGTCACCTCCACTGTACTGCAACCACCGACTACAGACACAGACTACAGACAGGTACAGACTATTCCTGTACCTCAAGGCTGCACTTTGGAACTCATCAAAGGAAAAGTACATTGATCATTAACAATAGTGTAAATTGCCTGTGCCCATTTCTAAGAGGATTACCTTAATCTCATTAATTTCTGATTACTGTTTAACTATTGCTTGATAAGAAAGACTGCATTCTGAAAGAATGATCACAGTATTGATTGGTTATCAAAAAAAGTGAACCCAAGAGAACTCGGTCACTGCTTGCGTTTCAGCATTCGCTCCCAGATATCGCTGTAAGGCAGCTCTCTTACATATTAAGAGATCGTTCCACAATCTACAGCATAACGCCATATTAAAACACTAGAACAAATGCATTAGCAATCACATGATGTAAGTAATTGTGTAAGTGATTGATGTAATTGATTGAAATGAACACAGTGATGTAAGTAAGGCTATATCATTTAGTGTTTGCAAGAAAGCAAGAACTGTGGTGAATGACAATAAAATCACATATCTGAAATCAGACTTCTAAGTACTATCACTGTGCATGATCAGGTGTTCACATTTTTTTATTTTATAAAGTATCTTAATCCAGGTAGACAAAACATGTTGTTCACCATTGATATTAATGTACCTAGCTTCTGAACTCCTGTGTCACTTGGTGTGCTAATACGTCTTTGTTTAAACCTGAAATTGGAGTGCACTTCACTTTCCAGAAGATCTTGTGCTGCTTAAATACAGTACATTTCTGTACAACGTTTTCACTAACTCTCAATTCAATATGAATAACAACACTCAAGATTTAAGTGTATTGAAAGCTTAACCTGCTTGGTTGAGAGCTAACCTCCTGGCCATAGGACGAACAGGCCAGGACTCCCAGGCACAGTGAGGATTTTGACTGAGGGGCGGCAGCAGCAAAGGTAGAGATAGAGTGGAACTGGGATGAAAAAAAGAGGCATGCAAGGGAGAGACGTGGGTAGTGTTTATAATGCTTTAGGTGAGGAAATTACGTCACCATTAAATTACTGACAGCTGAGTCTGATTGAACTCTGCTACTCTTGTCATCCCGCCCGAACTTTCGTTATAAACTTCATAAAACAGTGTTGCCTGGCATTACGTGGTGCTGATACCTATGGTAGGCACTCTAAAATCAAGTCTACTACCCATACGCTGGAGACGGTGGAGCTGAGAAGGCGTTGTGTGTTGTAGTACTTTTGAGGATGCGAGAGAAATCTGCTTTCTGGAGCAAAGAAGTGTTTTCTTATTATAACAGAGCAAACATGAGTTTCGGTACACATTATAACGTGTTTTTTAAGCGTATTGCAAATGCCGTTAAAAATGAGACGGCACTTAATTAACACACTTATTTAACAGAACAGTTAAATGCGTTACAATATGTTTAGATTTCACCACTGATGCATACACGACCTTAGCATGATAAGTTGTCAACGTTGATTAAATGCAGTATATTATACGTAAACACTTAATTACAAAAACCTGCTCCCCTCTCTGAACTCCTGAACTCCGGCAGTGACGCGGCAGGTCGTGCTGTCACCCACAGCGAAACTCTATAAAACTCGAAGGCACCGGTTATACCCAGGGATTAGTGATGAAGTGAAGTGTTAAGCCTTTGAGTTGCCTTTTAAAAAAAAAAAATTGTTGTACTCTTGCTTAAATTTCTCTACCTTGATTTTCCACCTGCTCTCTAACTGCAACGCTACGAGGATGATTACTGTCTGGAGGTGCCACCTCTGATCTGGTTTAGTAAGTAAAAGTTAAGACGAAGTTTTAGCGATTTGCGTTAATAGCTTTTGAAGGAAGAATTCAAGTTCGGTACACAGCGTTCTTTGTACAATTCATCTTTGTGTACTGTAAACAAAATCACGAGAAAGTACTGAAGGATGGTAGATGAGATATCTGAATGCTATAACAGCTTACCAATAAGCAATTCAAGAAATGTTTGCAATGTTCTTTTAAAAATAATTTAACCTGTAAACATTCCTTGCCTGGTTCAACTGTTATATCAAAAAGAAAAAATCAGTAAACCTTTTGGGGCTGGTTCTTTCAGTTTAGAAAGTGTTTCTGTTAAATGCGTTTAAATTTAGGAAGCGTATTCCACAACATTTGCTTTTGTGAAAATTTGTATGTTCCCACTTTAAAGGACTTACAGTATTGGGTGCATTTAACGAACTCTTGCCAATAAAAGGCTTGTTTCGAATTGAGGTCCCATTTTGCATATCGAGCTCAGGTGCAGTTGTTTTTAAGTGTGGTACCTGACCTGCTGGTAAACCCTTGTAACGTTGCCATTCTGATGTTTTTCAGTACCACAGGGTCCCTAAGTGCTGTTGTGCTACATCTTAACACCCAGTGTCTCCACCTGACACTGGGTTTGCCCCAGTCAGACAGCCACAACATGTCACTGGAGAGAGGGACTGTCCACCCCTTGATCGAAACTGTCATCAACCTCACAGCAGGGGCGGCAGGTGAGTAATGTACCGCTTAAAAGTGGAGTGGCAAATCTGGACAATACGTACCTCTTTATAACGGTGGGTCCCAACCTTTACAAGTGTGTGGAGCCCTTTTCAGTTTAAAGCATTCTGTGGGCTACCATGAGCTACCAGCTGTTTTCACACTCACATCCTTTCTGTAGTCTTGTGCTTCATGTCACAAAAGGCTGACTGCTACCTTGTCATGCGATTTGTCTTGGAGTCTCTTTGTAAGTTGGCTCCAGCTTGTGTAGGTCTTTTCTGGTGGCTTGAACATAGGCAGTGTTTTGTGTTGGGAATAGGTGTCCCTATTAGTGCCTGTTTGTTAATTCTGGACCAGTACTGTAGTGTGATCTGACTTTCATTCTATGAAATATCACTGACAAGTGGTTGGGTTGTGACCTGGCTTTGACTTTTTTTTCATTATTTTATACATAAAATGCAGAGGTGAGAGTTGAAGCCATTCAGTCGGGCAAACTCTTTGTTAGGGCCCAGGTTTGCTATGTTGCTGAACTGGTGTGACCTTGCTGTTGTACAGACTCCTCTTGAGCTTCATTGATGTCTTTCCCTTGTTCCACGTGTCACACAGTCTGTCCAAGGCTACAGCTGCCCTGCGAGCTCTTATCTTTGATTTTGTCATTGTTGTGCTCTAGCTTCCTCCCACAGTCCAGAGATGTACTGGTACAGTAGGTCAATTGGCTTCTGGGAAAATTGTCTGTAGAGTGAATGTTTGTGTTTGCCCTATGATAGACTGGCGTCCCATCTAGAGTGCATTGCGTCTCACACCCACTCATTGCTGGGATAGGCTCTGGCTCTCCTGCAACCCTGAATTGGATAAAGTGGTTAGAAAATGGCTTGATGAATGTTATTGTTATCTATAATGAGGGTACCTAAATAAGTGAAGTTGTTGTTCCATTCCTCGAGAAATAAAAATCAATAAAAATAATCTGCACTTGGTCAACATTTGTAATGTAAACCATTAATTTACTTAAATTCTTATTCATTATCTTGACATACTGCAAAGCAAGTGCCTGGGTAAGTGTATGGAGTAACTGAATTAGATAGCTTATACTGTTTCCCTGACTTCAAAGGCCAGCATGTCAGGTTGAAACGATGACGGTTAATTCTGGTTCACATCACGTTTTTTTCTTGTTTCACAGACCACGGTTATTTGACATGTTGTCATCAAGTGATTTGACTCGTTCAAACTGAGTGTGCGCTTTAGATTAATGAACTTTCAAACCCTTACGATAGGGACTGTGGGGCAGCCATTTTCATGGACGACCACTTTAAGAAGGCAAGAGAAAGTTGCAGATGAGAGGAAGCCTCTTTTGACCCATCCGGCCCGTATGGTAGTAAGTAGTTTATTAATCCAAGGATCTCATCTTGCCATTCCTTGAAAGAGTGCAGAGTATCAGCTTCCATGTCATACAGATCACGCAGGGAGTTGTTGTCTGGTTACTCTGTCCCCATTTGGATCAAAGCTGGCTTGAAAATGCATGTAAGACTGTGTGAAGCCACTTACTGTGCAAGATTTTAAAACCTAGATTTTATTATTGCTCAGTGGGTTTTCTTGTATAGCTATTTGCACTTGTCTTAAATGCTGATGATTTGTTAAGAGAGACTTTTATTGAATCAGTTATGAACTAATCGGATTTCTCCTGTAGCTGAACTCCAGGCAAGGCTGAAAATCTGCACATCAAAATTTCACAGCTCATAAAATTGAACATGTGGATAAATTACTTTTTAAATTTTTGTTAAAGGGGAACTGCAACGCTATGTTTCTATTTTGGGGTTAGAAACGATCTGCATTGATGAGTGCATTTCAAGATATAATGAAAGTAAGATGTAAATTGGAGGTTTTACAGGTACATCACAAAATAGCCAAAATTTCCAGGTATGCACAGTGCCATATCCTGCTATTCAGAACAAGGCAACCCAACTGGTGAGGTGATGCAGTCCTAGTGCATTGTAAACAAGCAGGCTTGTGAATGCATTTCTTCTAATCCAACAGAAACATTGCTCTTGACTTCGAGACGGTTTTGCAGATAAATGCAACTTGTTAGCTCAGCATGCAGATCACGTTTGAATATCTCTGCATTTCTGCAGGATGTCTGCTGCACAACCTGTACTTATTGGCTCATACATTGCATTACACCAGTCATTAGAGTGACTAGTGAGCAGGAAGGGCTGCTGCACATCGCAATTTGTGTCAACTCTCGCTCCTGCCTGCGGCGAGACCAGCGATTGGCGACAATATGGTGACCATGCAGTACTTTCACAAAGTTCATGATTTTGTGCTTAATTTGGAATTTGAAAAATTTTGCAAGGCCATCAATTGCTGAATTTTGTTATTAAGATTTAATAACTAGCCTAAGAAATTGGGACTACAGTTCCCCTGTAAAGTAGGTGATGGAGTGGGGGGAAATGGGCTAGGTGGTAGGTTATCATCATTTATTCTTTAAGGATTATGTTCATGGATGCAAGTTCATACTATTGTCTTAATTTCATAAACAGTTATGTGGTTTGGGTGATCGTTTCTAGGAATAACCAAATGTGGCATCCAATTTAAAATACTAGGTTCTAATGTTGTACTGCATCTTGGGGAGGCAGAGGAAACATTTCATTTATTTGGCGGGATATGTGATATTAGTTGACCGAATAGCCGCGTTGAGCCAGGTTTCTTAAGAATACAGTGAAGCAGTGATTTCAGAATCATTGTTCTTTACAGTATATTCACCACCATTTACTCTGTTGTTTTGAGTGACATAGGCTGGGTTAACTTCATGACGAGAGGTAAAATTTGGTTGATTTCAAATCTTAAAAGGCTTGATGTGTTCCAAGCCAGAGTTCTAATTTAATGTCACTTGTTGTTCTTGCATGTCTCTGCATTTGTGCACAAGGGGGGATGTTTCTGATCAGACCCCGACCCAGTTTAGAGAAATGCACTCAGCCTGCTGTCTGGTGCTCTTGTCTGTTTCAGGGGGTGTGGCGTGTGTGCTGAGTGGGCAGCCTTTTGACACGGTGAAGGTGAAGATGCAGACCTTTCCAACAATGTATCGGGGTTTTGTGGACTGTTCGCTGAGAACCTACCGGCAGGATGGGCTGCACGGGCTGTATCAGGGCACGATGCCTGCGCTACTGGCAAACGTGGCCGAGAACGCTGTCCTTTTTGCCTGTTATGGGTTCTGTCAACAGCTCACTAGGCGGCTGTTTGGACTGGAGAGTGTATCCAAGCTCAGGTGAGGGCTGGAAATCAAATAATGCTTCTAGAAGTACTGTTGACTGATGTCATTGGAACATATTTGATATTTTTGCATAACTTGTGTAACAATGATGGACGTCTTCTCTTTAAGAGATTTGCTGTTCTATATTAAAATGAAGAACCTTGATAAAATGATAAGGCAGTCTTCAGGAAATACAGTGTGCTTATTTTAATGTGGCTAGACTTGGACAAATTATTATTATATCACTGTTATTTGTGGGTAGTCAAGAATGAGGCGCAGTGGGTTCCCAATGCAATTTTTGTTTCTCTCTTCTGTTTAAGAGAGAAAGCTGCACTTTTCCTGGGATGTCGGGATATCTCTGTGCCCTTGTCGTTAAACTGTTATCTTCTGCACTCTTTAGTGTGCCTCTCTGAAGATGGGGGGCAGGGGAGGGGAAGGAAATATCAGTTTGCTACAAAATCATAAGACTTCTACCACTCCTTCATGTTCTTCTATCATTGGGATGGATGTGAACTTAGTGTGCAGTCTAAATGATTTAAAATTGATTTTTTTTTTAATTTCACTGAGGTGGGCTCCTGTGTTTACATTCCTTTCTCTGAAAATGGGAAAGGTTAGTCTTTTGTTGTCTGTGTCTGAGTAGTTGAAGTCTATATGAGTGACTTGTAAGACTATGCACTTAGCAGCTCCTGTGGTGATCTCTGTTCCTTCCAGTGACCTGCAGAATGCCACGGCGGGCTCAATCGCCTCTGTCTTCTCCTCTCTAGTGCTGTGTCCCACAGAGCTGGTGAAGTGCCGGATGCAGGCTCTCCATGAAATGAAAGTGGCCGGCAAAACCTCTTTGGCATATCGGGTGTAAGCAACTCTTCAGCTGATCACATTTTATCATATGTTGACGTTTAGGGAAGAAGGAGGGTGAAAATCGTACAGTTTCCAAATATATTAGACCAATTGGACCCATGCTAGTAATTTTCACACTGAAAACAATGGGTAGAGGTTATTGCTATTGGTTGATGGCTCCAGTGTCCTGGGTTAGAATGGGGCTCTGTGTGTGTGGATTTTGCTTGGGTTTTCTGAGTGCTCCAGTATTCTCCTACAGTTTAAACACTATCCTGGTTGATTGGTGTTTCTAAAGTGTGAACTGCGTGTGTCTGAGAAAATGGGTGTGTGTCCTTCAATGGACCGGGGCCTTTTGCCTTTTACCATGAGCCCCGAGGACCCAATTCACTGTCTAAAGGATAAAGAGGAAAACAAAAATGCATGTACAAATATAATATGCTTTCCGGATGGTCTCTTCTCCTACATATTCATTTTGTTTTGTACCCTTATCGCTTAAAGTACAATTCCACTGTGTTAAGGCTATTGGTTTCACTGTGCTCTTGCTTAGCTTTGTGCCACTTGTAAAGCTCTGTATCTCCCAAGTTGGGCTGTGGGACTCTTACTCAGCCATACCCTGCTTCTTTTTAAGACATGATTGAATGAAACAGGGCTAAATGGGACAAAAGTCCTCCTCTCTTTTTCAGTCTTTTTGTTCAATGTGTATTTAGAAAACCAAACACCCATGTTTATAGTTTAACAGAAGGTACAGGCATTTAAAGCTGTGGTTCGTTGGCTTTTAAACGTATATTTGAGGTCAATATTTATAGGATCATCTTGAGAGTTATAATGCCAGCTTTTGAGTAAGCATTAACTGTAGATTTATGTGACATGTAAATACCTTTAAAATAAAACTGGGCAGTGGAAGTACTCCCAGTTTACTGTAAACTTCCATCATCCTGCTATCGGATTGTGGCCGCTATTAATATGATTCTGTCAGACAGATGTGGGTTTTACCCACTGTTTTATCTTATTTCAGACCAACAGTGTATGCGTATTTATGATGGAGTCACTATTTTCAGTCCTCCCTCCCTCCCCGTCACATTCTTCCATAGATGTTTCAGTAGGATAAAGATCGGGGAACTTGCAAGAGCCACACAGATTTATCCTAGACTGTTTTTTTTTTTCCAGATTTTTAAGGGGATCATGATCACGATATCGCATAACTTTCAAATTAAACCCAAACCCCTCCATTTTATTAGCATTGGTCAAACCACTGCAGTGACATCAGTAGCATGCTGGAAAGTGCCTTCTCTAGACTCTGAGCATTTTTATCTTTCAGTCATTGAAAGCTGCACCTCCATTATGTGAAAAAGCAAATGGCATAGGAAATTGACATGAACGTGAAACGGGGTGGTTCCTGTCTTTCTTCTTCAGGGCAGGTCTGAGGTGTTCATCTTTCTCTTCTGTGTCCCAGCTCTGCCTGGTCTATAGTGAGGGACATCATGAAGACTGATGGACCCCAGGGCTTGTTTCAGGGGCTAACAAGCACTTGGCTGAGGGAGGTGCCCGGTTATTTCTTCTTCTTTGGAGGATATGAAATAAGCAGGACCTTTTTCACTAAGCCGGGAATGTCAAAGGATGAGTTGGGTGAGGCTGGACTACAAGTCTTGGAAATGAATGATCATCTCTTCAGCTGGAGATTTTTAATGAGTGTAAAAGCTATTGTGGCTTGCAGGGGTTAGGGAAACGGAGGGGAGAACACTTTCATAACAGATCAGAATACAAAGTGAAAATATGCTGACGGTGTACAAACACGCACACATCTCGTATGTCTGTCCTCGAGTTCCTCCTTTCAGATTTAGCTTTGAGGTGAAGCCTTCGATTGGGGATTTCCGCTGGGGAGATGTATATGGCACAAACTGTCAAGAGCCCTTTTTAAAATGCACTTCACCAAAATCCAGTTTATAATCCATTTCAAGAAAATTCTAGTTTTTTTTTCTGGGGATTATTATCTTGCACTGTAATTCTTATTGGTAGGATAAATTTATAAATAGAAATGATTGCCTGTGAAAACGGGCTGTCAGTGGATTTTATTTTAAAGAGAAATTCACTTATCTCTTGCAGCTGAAAGGCAGGCAAGCCATGAAGACAGAGGGGAGTAAAGAAAGACTTTACTAAATGAAGCAAGTAGGGTCCCATTTAGCAAACCTGGATTGGATTACTTTGCCTTACAGAAACCGCCTTAAAATATATAAAATTAGATTTGCAAGACTTGTTTAGAGCTGAGATCTCAAACTCCTTTCCTGGAGGGTTCCAGTGCATTGTAGCTTTCTTTCCACCTGAGCTTTGTTACTTAGTTGGTTTAATTGCTTGATGAATTGGATAATTATATAGCTCTTTTCCAGGCCTACAGGGCTTTAAAGACACTATACCTGGAAATAATTGCATGAATCAAGCGACTGTTGGTGGGGGAATTAAATGCAGTACACTTTGATTCATCTAGATGGAGAAAATAATTAAATTTGTCCTTAATTAAATTGAGAACACAAACTACAAAATTAAAAACAAAAGACATTGTGGCCCTCTAGGAACTGAGGTGGAGACCTCCTGGTTTAGAGAAGTAATCAATGGTATTTTTTATAGGTCTTAGTAGTTGTAAAATTAAGACACATTGGTCAAACTATACAGAACCATTTTAATAAAAAACCCACTTGGGCCTGTATTACTCAATGAAGCATCCAGGATGTAAATTAGGGAGTCTCTACAAGCAGGTTTAAAATTTTATTTTTTTAATGTAGTAAAATGAGGAGTTTGTTTTTTTATTTTTTATGCTGTCCTCTTAAGGTAAATTCCTGGGAAATGTTAACATAAATATGGCCCACGGTATTAATGAGTGGGTTGCCCCGTGTGGCTCATGGCGAAGTCTCACTGCCCCTCTGCCCTCCTCCATACAGATGCAGCACTGCTGGTTGTGAGTGGAGGCATTGGGGGGGCATTCTTCTGGCTTGCGGTTTATCCCATTGACTCAGTGAAGTCCAGAATCCAGGTTCTGTCCATGAGTGGCAAGCAGGCTGGGTTCCTCGTGTCCTTTATCAACATCCTTAGAACTGAAGGTAAGAAATATTGAGCTGCCTTGGGCAGACTTTGCTTGTTCCTCGCTAGCAGGCTTGAGTTGGTCAATAGCAGAGGACTACGGGGTACCGTGTCACATGGCAGCCCAGGGGGAGAGCCTCTGAGCTTTTTGTGGTCTAGGGAAGGTGATCCAGTCTATAGCTCACTCTCCTTCCTCTGGTCTTTCCACCTATATGGAACTGGAACCTGGTGAGGCAAGAATCTGCTTGTACTGTTTAATGGGCTGCTCAATGGCAGCATTTACATTCATTGCTTGAAATGGCTTTAAATGGCAGTTGTTAGCACTGGGGCCCTGGGTTCAATTCTGGACCTGTGATCCTATCTGCATGGTGTTTGTATGTTGTATGTTCTCCCTGTGTTCACGTGAGTTTCCACTGGTTGCTCTGGTTTCACAGTCAGACGTATTGGTACAAGTAGGTTGGTTGTCTATGGGGAAAACTGGTCCTTGTATAAATACAGTATGTGCATGACTGTTTGTGTCTGGCTGTCCTGCGATGGACTGACATCCTCTCCAGATTGTGTCCTTTGCTTGCCGGGATTGGTTCTGGCTCCCCTGCAACCCCGTAGTGGATGAAGCGCTTTGAAAATAGCATAAAAAGTTAATCTATCCAAAGGCTACTGTCAAGAGCTGCAGAGCCCTTGGTCAAGTCCAGCAGGTTTCTTGCATAATCATGAGATACTTTGTTGTACAACTAAAAAACACAAAGTGGTAAAGAAATTGTTGAAATATACAAATCACTGTACTCTAAACCGCAATCAGTAGCTGAATGTTCATTGTTATGAAATGTTTATGATGTACAACTCACTGTCTCAGGGAGGCTTCCTAAGGATAACATCCTGGTTTCTGATTTTTCCCTCCCCTGTCCTCTGGTAAGTGTAATAGGATCATAAAGGCACGTTCAGAGACCGCTTCTTCAAGCAATCTCTCAGATTTATGGAATTCTACCTCTACCACTGGCTCACACTGATGTGCACTTTTAAGTTGTATGTTATTTACGTTTGTTGTTTTTGCTGCTGCTGCTGCTGTTCTGTATTTAAGTTTAGTGTTTCCTTAATGCCTTTTAGTTGGAACATGCATGAAAAATAAACTGAACTGATTACCTGACAGAGCACATTCAAAACTTTCTGAGTGCTTTGTTCTTAGGTGAGTTGTAGGGTGATAACCAGCAGCCCTATCACCCTGCAACTCGCAACCAGCAACGCACTGAAGCTAAGCAGGTGTGAGCCTGGTCAGTACCTGGATAGGAGACCTCCTGGGAAAAACTAAGGTTGCTGCTGGAAGAGGTGTTAGTGGGGCCAGCAGGGGGCGCTCACCCTGCGGTCTATGTGGGTCCTAATGCCCCAGTATAGAGACAGGGGCACTAAACTGTAAAAAGGCACTGTCCTTCGGATGAGATGTTAAACTGAGGTCCTAACTCTCTGTGGTCATTTAAGATCCCAGGGTGTTTCTCGAAAAGAGTACGGGTGTAACCCCAACGTCCTGGCCAAATTTCCCAGTGGTGTTTACCAGTCATGGTCTCCTAATAAGCCCCATCTATGAATTGGCTTCATTACTCTGTTCTCCTGGCATTATGTGTCTCCTCCCGAATGAGAGCTGATATGTGGTGAGTGTACTGGTGCACTATGTCTGCCGTTGCATCAGAGGTGGATGCTACACATTGGTGGTGGAGGGGAGTCCCCATTACCTGTAAAGCATTTTGAGTTACCTTTTATAAGCAATTTATTAATAACAATTCTTCTTCTTCAGGTGTTACAGCCTTGTACTGTGGACTGACCCCCACTGTAGTGCGAGCATTCCCTTCCAATGGAGCCCTTTTCCTTGCTTATGAACTGACCAGAAGAGCCCTGAGTGACAAAGTAGCTGCTATCTGAACACATGCCTGGTTTTAACTGTTTTAATTACATCTGCTGTCATATCAAAATGTTTCTGCACAAAAAAGTATTTTAAAACTTTTATTGTAAACTTTGTAAATTTTGAAATGTCTGTGTTATTCTATGCCTTGTTAACTGTATTATTGATGTTTTGTAAAATTTTACCCTTTTTCAGGCACTATTAGAATCCTAAAAGGTATAAGAATTTAATTGGGGTATTTGATTTTGATTAAGATTTGTGGAGCCACAGTTTTCACATTCACTTTAATAAGAGGCAGGAGCAGAATTTCATGGTGCTGTGCTCAATTTGTTTTTGTTTGAACGCAACAAGGCTTTAACACTTCATTTCTGTAAAAAAATGTGTCTTTTAACCTAGCCGTGTACTATTACAAAAGTGTTTTACACAAAAAATAAAGTTTTTAATTTAATTTTGTGACTCTTTCTATTTCCTCGCTGATTTATTGAACTGCATCATTATGTTCTGGACTTTGTTAAAGGCACAGTTACCTATAAAGCGCCTCAAAGCTGGGTTAGAATTTTTACAGTTAAGTAATTAGACCAGCTGTCTAACAAACTATGAATGCACACAGACAGATTTAGAAACATTTCTGAACTAAACAAGAGAACTATAGTAACCAGAGAACACCCATGTAGCTGTAAGGAGAACATGCAAACTCCACATAATGTGCTCAGGCCAGAATTATTTATAAAACTGACTAGCAGTTCTTGAATTAATTTTGTTTAATTGATTTATTAAGTTATTGACTTGGTAAAATAAATGAATTGGGATTCTGAAGCAGTAATAATAGTAATGTGATGACCAATAGTGTACACAATTTTCACTTTTCTACAAGTCTTACTGCATTTAATGTAATGTCCCGTGTTTTAAATTCTATGCTTTTAACTATTTCCTAACATTTTCTTTGTTTTTTTTCATTGCTTTCCCACATTGTGTATAGAGAGGTACTGTAAATGTCAACATTTTTTCCACATAGTAAAAAAAAAAAGCTCAGTTTTCCCATTTTATATATAGTTTTTATTTTCCTATCAGCACTTATCTGCATTAAATACCATCTTTCTGGTGACTGCCAAGTTTTCATTTTTGTCTAGATCTTTTTGACTAGAACTTGACTAGATCACCAACTATAACAGAATGTAGATAATTTCTTTAAATTTGGAAGAAATCCAACATGAGCTTGAAACAGATTCTTGTTGTCCTTCACTAATTGCATTACCCCCACCGTAAAATCACTGAAAACTGGGTCACATGCTATGAGGATGGTGGAGATTTTTGGTTCATGTGCAACTTGGTGGTGGAATCGGTCTGTAGCATTTTACTCCCTGGAAATGTTACAAATGAACAAAAAACTTTATTCGCAGCAGAATTGTTGCAGTACTTCTACCACAGTTTTAATCACCTCCCATACTGTATATGTGTGGTTAAAACTGTAATCATGTAATCATTTGAACAGCTTTCTCTGAAGTGTTATGGAAAATGAACTGAATATACAGCTTTAACAACAAAGTTCCTAACTTTGGTTTCACTTCACATTGTATACAAACCATTGGTTTTAAGTTTGCCGCTTGACATTTTACAGTATGTGGTTTTTGAGGGCAGGATAAATATCATGTGCCCTAGTTTTTTCCACAGTGGGATGACCTGCTATCATCAAAAACCATCATCGCCAATTTTATAATTAAGTTTTATGGAAAGAACACCAATTAATGAAACCAAAGATAAAGAAATACAGTTTTCAATGGTAGTCTTTGACTAAAAAGAGACATCTTCAGATATTGATTTAATCCGGTCAGTTACTGAAAGCTCAGGTTACTTAATAAATATTTTTCATTTTTTAATTGTTGAACAATGCTTCAAAGAATACTGCTTTAAAATCCCATCTTCCTTAATTCTTTTCAGCAAATATTTTTTGTTATTTTATTAGATCACTAACAATAAGTGAAGGAATTATTCTGGCCTTGGATTTGATGGTTTGCTTAGTAAACATTGGCTGTTGTGCCATAGGCATGATTTAAGTTTACACACCCTGTTGGAGCTATTTCAACCAGAAAGTCCTCACCTTTGTTTTTAGGAACCATTTTAAAATGTCTTTTCAACATTGTCCTTTTAGCCTGAGCCAGGTTTGCCTTATAATTGAAAAACACAGCTGTCGTTGTGTTAAAATAATTTATCAACTTCTATATGCAGTGAAGGGATCGGGGCTGAGGTAGATCACACTCGGCAAGAACATTTATATAGATGACTTTGAAAGTAATGAAGGGCAACAGAGCCAAGGAATTGGGAAGACTAGACTATCCCACGCTATAAATTCCTGAGGTCTCCTTCAGTTAAATTGGAGAGACTGTCATTAGAACACACACAACATGTAGACTTCAGCACACTCACCCTAGTATCTATAAACGAGAATGACCCTGAAGGGAAAGAACACAACATACAGAGCGGAGAAAGTGTCAGTGTTTTAGACAGCCAGGGCATTCAGGCTGGACAGAGATCACATTGCTGTGGTCAGTGTGGGAAGAAATTTAGTCAGTCAGGCAGCATTAAAATACACCAGTGAATTCACACAGGAGAGACCATATTGCTGTATTCATTGTAAGAAGAGGCTCACTCACTTAGAACAATTTAAAAACCTTCTGCGTATTCACAAAGGAGAAAGACCATATTTGTGTAATCAGTGTGGCAAAAGCTTCAGTCGATAAGAAGGTTTAAGAACACACGAGCGAATTCAAACAGGGGAGAGACCATACAGCTGCAGTCAGTCGAGACAACTGAAATACCACCAGCAGATTCACAGAGAAGAAAGAGTATACTGCTACCGTCAATGTGGGAAGGGTTTTTTGTTGTCAAATGACTTGAAAAAGCACCAGCACACACACTCTGGAGGGATGTACTGTTGCAGTCAGTGTGGGAGAAAATTCATTTGAATGGAAAATTTAAAAGTGCACCCACAAACTCACAAAGGACAGGGCTCATACTGCTGCAATCAGTGTGGAGAGACATTTGGTCAGTCAGTACATTTAAAAGCACATAACCAAGGAAAGAGAAAATGAACGTGCACAAAGTGTGGGAAACGTTTTAGAAACTAAAGCAAGCTGAAGAATCACTAGTACTATCAGTGGTGATAGTGGAGACTCTGTAGCACTGTCACCAAGTCGTGTGATATCGGAGACAGATTATTTTTGCTTTAACAGATACAAGCCTATTTTATGATTATTTAAATTAATTTTTATTTATATTCTGAATTTATTAATTTATTCATATATACATTTCTTAACCTGTGTTCTTAGAAAGCATGTTGCATCTGTGCAGTATTATTAACATTTCTCATCAGATTGAAGCCTGTCCTTAACCTAGGAGGTGACAATGAATTCTGTCTACCTGTCAGTTAAACTGCAGGTCTCTCCATTCTGCAGCATGCCATGGTGCTCAGCTAAATGGTGCTAATAAACCATTGAACACTTGCTCAAACCTGTGGATATTTCTTATCCATGTGATTGTGTACCTTCACAAAACAAATAATTGCAGTTTTTTCGTAGGTATATTTTTATTACTAGGCAATTTGTCCTGAACTACAATTGATGTTTTAAATTGTTCACATTCATTTACAGTATATTTGCAGTAAATTTACTATCCAAATAAATGCTTGCTTTGAGAATAAATATTTTTTTATGTGAAATAGATTTTACGACTACCGTGCTTCATTCATTGAAATTCCATTAATTACACAAAGCACACACGAATAGAGCAACTCGCAGGCGTTTTCAAACCTCCTGGCTAGGTGGCGCTAGTGTGATGAGGATTATATCTGGGTACATACACACCTCTGTAGGCTTTCACTCTTTGGTTGTTGTGTCGCTGCTTTACTGCTCCGGCGCAGGAATTCTAGCGATGCTGTGCGACTTGTCGCGATTTATTGACGTTTTTTCCTGCTGGGCTCACGCTGACTAACCTGGGCAGAACTGTTGCAGTCTGCAGACTTCTGTAAGTCTGCGTGTTATGAGCCTTGTTTTTATTTTAAATATTTGAAAGTTTTTCGAATTGAAAAAAAAAAACGGACAATGCCGCCGAAACAGGGAAAGGCTGGCAAGGGAGGAAAAGGTAAACAAAGTTGTTGATTTATTATTTTTATTTAATCCACACGGCATTATTAGCAAGAGACTACTAGTTGGGGGCTGCTGCAGTCGAGGAGGTCCGTTACATTTTAAATGAAATGTTGGTTACTCGCGTTTTTTTTTTTGTCAGGTATTTTAAACATTTGAATTTAATGTGATTTAAACTGTTCTTAATCTATGCATACACCCCGTTTGCTAAATCCCTAGTTTACAGTGTCCACATGTGAAAATACGTTATATGTGTGTCTCCAGCAAAACGTATGTAACTATATTTCCCCCAAAAATATTTCTCGCGAAAAACACAGAATACTGTGTACTGTATTTAGATCACATGGTCTGACTGATCATTTCTGTGCTTATACTACTCAAATCTAAGTACATACAAACTTGACACGGATGTGGCTGTCTCTGCGCTCTCCAATACCTGGATGACTCAAACGTAAAGTACGACAGGACTGAAGTAATGCTTCTTGCCGCCTTCTATTACCTATGTAAAGCCACTGCAGGAACCCCATCTGTGGATGGCACTGTACTTGAATTTCAGTCTAAGTTGAAGAACGTGGGGGTGATATTTGTTCCCGACTTGACGTTTGATCCACATTTGCAACATATTTAAAAAACATCAAACATATCAGAAATATCACCAGGCTATGTCCTGTATTGTCCCTCGCTGTAGCTGAAAAGCTTGTCAACACATTCGTCTTCTGTAGCATTGATTACTGTATCTAAATCCACACTGAACAAACCTCAGAATGTCCAGAATTCATCAGTCGGAATGCTGACCACGTCATATGCAAGTGGTCACGTTAATCTGGTCCTGATGTCCTTGTACTAGTGGCTTCCTACTGTATAAGGTTTTGTGTCAACTCATGCTCAAAGGCTCTACATGACTTGGCCCCTCAGTACCTGTCTGAATTATCATCATCATCATCGCAACCTTTCTTCATCTGACTCTGGGTGTCATAAGGGTGACAGGGCCTTCTCTTGCTATGCCTCTGAGCTCTGGAAACCTGTCCCCCAGGATATCAGAGAATCATCTTTCCCGAGCGCTTTCAAATCCAGACTCAAAACCTTCTTCAGAAGGGCTTTTATTTAATTGATGTCCGTGTCGGCCCCTTTGTATCTTCTACTGCATTCTAAACCTTTCTCTTTCTTTGTGCTAATTTTGGGATCTCCTGTCTTTGGGACCTCACATGGTCTCTCAACACTACCTGTCTGATCAAGAAAGCACAACAGCGCCTGTACTTCCTAAGACAGTTGAAGAAGGCTAAGATATGTCCCCAGATCCTCACTAACTTTTACAGATGCACTACAGAAAGCACACTGACAGGCTGCATCACAGTGTGGTATGGCAACTGCAGTGCT